AAAACTGGGTTTCTCCACTTGGCCCCTTAAAGACAGCGGCGCATCTCACAGGCTGGCTGCCTCTCGCCCCCTAGTGGAAGCCGGCAGAATGACAGGTTTTGGAAGACTTAAGGAGTATCTCCTGAGTGACCCACGTGCCAGGCATAAGGACAGCACCCGGTGTGCAGTGGGGAGAAAGGCGGTCACAGTCCTTTTGCAGTGAAGCTGATCGTCCAGCAGCGGAGGTGAATGTTAAGTACGAAGCACACAATGATTATTTGTGTGTTTGCTGCTGAGGGCTAAGGAGAATTGCCGGGTGCTCGGGCATCCCTGGATGATGCCAACGGTTAAAGTTCTGGGCTGCTAACTGAAAGATGGGTGGTTCAAGCCCACCCGGAGGTATCTTGGAAGAAAGGTCTGGCACTCTACTTCTGAAAAATCTGCCACTGAAAATCCTACGGATACCTCGAAGAATGTAATCAATGTCAATGAATTGTACATGCAGAAACTGTTGAATTGGTGTATGTTTTGAAGCCCTGGTTGTACAGTGGTTAAGAGCTCGGCTGCTAACCAAAAGGTCGGCATTTCAAATCTACCAGCCTCTCCTTGGAAACCCTACGGGGCAGTCCTATAGGGTCACCATGAGTCGGAATCGACTCCACGGCAACCGTTTTTTTTTTTTTGGCTATGTATATTTCCAACAACAAAATAAAATTAAAACAGAAAGTAAGAAAATCCTACGGAACACAGTTCTACTCTGACACACATGGGGTTGCCATGAGTTAAAGTTGACTGAGAGCAACTGGGTTTGGCTTTTTTTTTTGTTGGAGGGGGCATTAAGTAGGAAGCCAAGACCCTGTCTTGGGCATCAGGGAAGGCTTCCTGGAGGAGGTCACCTTTAGAGGAGCCTGGAGGGACAAGAGTGTTCCAGGCTGAGGGCAGAGTGAGTGAAAGGTAAGGAGGGCAGATGAGAGGTGACCCTGGCAGGTGGTGGGGGTGTTCTTGGCCCTCAGGGGACTGAGGAGCTACTGAGAGTTTGAAGTAGGGAGTAACGGGGCCCACTGACGTTTCAGGCCAGGAGGACAGGAGTGAGAAGGCACACACCTGAGGGGGTGAAGTTAATCTGGGCCCAGCAGGATTCTCGCTCTCTGCAAAGGAATTCAACAGAAAGTGAGGACTCACCTGGCCTCCCACCAGCACGCTGGGGTGGCCTCTTAGGAAGTCCTGGCCTCAAACCAGGCCCAATACTTGGCCTTCAGCGCCTACCCATCCACACATCCTCCCTGCAGTATGCCCTGGAAGGGAAAGCAACAATGCCTGATCCATGGTACACTGGGTGAGTCTTCCCACACCAGGTTGATGGGAAAATGGAAAAATGGAAATTCACTTGCCCCAGTCACTCGGCCAGCTGAAGCCATGATTCAAACCCTAGGGGGAGGCCAGCAGACATCCTGACTCCCAGGAACCAGGGCCACGGCCTACAGGGTGCAAACTGGGCACTGCGCAACCCCAGCAGGCACTCACCTCCCCATCATGGATTTCTAAATGGATTACAACAATTTTCCAACAGCAGGCAATAAGGGGACGTGAGGAAGGCTCTGACACTTGCTCCCTGTGTGACTGGGCACTGAGCCTCAGTCCACTAATCTGTCAAATGGGGTTATTAATAGTGCCTGCTTCCAGGGTTGCAGGGAGGATAGCATGAAGTCCTGCTTGGGAGTCTCCAAGTCCAATGCCCAGTGTACAGTAGGCACTTAATAAATGGCTCCTGCTCTATTAATCGGCCCTCCCATTGGTGGATGCTGTTTAGGGTGGGAACCCAGGAACTAGGCCCAGCTCCTTAGCAAAAGATTCTTTGACACCCATCAGGATCTCTTGGGCTGGGATCGAGTGTTTATGTCTCTGAAACCACCCTCTGAAGAGTCTCCAGGGACTGTCTCACCTTTTCTTCTGCAAATTTGTGACTTTAACTGGGGACAAAAAAAAAACAAATAAATAAACATAGTTAGATTTGGGTCCCAGTTGCATCTGGCAAGTTCCTAAAGCCCCCGAAGGCCTCAGAGAGAAGTATAGCAATTTCTGGTTTGTGAGGCTCCACTCAGGAGCCCTGGTGGTGCAGTGGTTAAAGCGCTTGGCTGCAAACTGAAAGGTCGGCAGTTCGAGCTCACCACCCGCTCCACGGGAGAAAGATGTGGCAGTCTGCTTCCGTAAAGATTTACAGCCTTGGAAATCCTACGGGGCAGTTCTAGTTCTACTCTGTCCTATGGTGTCGCTATGAGTCGGAATTGACTCAATGGCAACAGGTTTAGCTTTGATAAGTCCCCCCAGCACTAACTCTGAACGCAACCCCTTCCCTCCCTCATACACTTGCAGCCCTGCCTTGCCTTCTCATCTGCCAAGTTTGCCACACACCAGGAGAGTCCCTGCAGACGTTTCTTTCTTTTTCAGTTACAGCACTAACGTGGACAAACTTCAAACAATGTGCAAGTCCGTAAACTGTTGTTGTTTTTTTAATACCAATTCCCCCTGCCCACCACCTTCATCTCACTTATGAAGGATTGTTCCCGCCTACGTTTTAGAGTGAGACTTGCCCAAACTGTCTTCCTCTGTGCTCCTAAAAAATGGGTGTGAGCGTGAACACGTTTACACACTCCAGAGGTCAAAAACTGGCAGTCCATGGGTCGTGTTTTCTTTGCCCCCTGTTACCTTTCCTGATCACCATGACAACGGTCACCAGCAAAGCAAGGAAGAGGACTCCAGCCAGGCTTAGGGAAAGTGCCAGGATCCAAGTGGGCACTGGGGGAAAATGGAAAAAGACAGAGAGGGCAGGTCAAGGAGGTGTGCGGGCAGGGAGAGGGTGAGACACCTGTTGTGCCCCCAGGTTACCTTTCGGGAGCCAGCTCTCTCCTATGTGCTCCAGCCGTGTGGTTTGGGTATAGTTAGACCCTGGAGAACAAGCAAAGCTTGAGTCTAGCCAGTTAGCATATTCCCTCCCTCTGGTCATCATGATTAGTTCAGGGAGCACATGTGGCCTAAGCTGAGCCAATGAAAGCTAATTTTGGGACTGTGATCGGACCACTGGGAAAAGAGGTGTACTCCTCTGGCTAGCATTGCAAAGCTGATAGGATATACATCGGCAGCTGCAGGGCGTGATTTTGCCACCATGACAGGGAGGACTTGCCTGGGAATAAAACCCTCACAGAATAAAGTGGGACTGGCAAGTGGCAAAAGAATTCTGACTTCTTTGAGCACCTGGATCCAACCATACCTGAAGTCAGTATGTTTCTGGACTATCCAGTTCTATGAACCAACAAATTCTCTTTTGCTACTTACGCCAGTTTGAGTCAAGTTTTCAGTTACTTGCAACCTGAAGCGTCCTGGTGGTTTCAGCCTGGGTCCTAGGGGGTCAGACAACATCCACCCCCAGCCACATGGTGGACTCTGAGGCCCACGCAGAGGTCAGGAACAGAAGCATGGAAGCCCTAGCTCCAGAATTTTCTTCTCTGCAAAGGACTCAGCTGCCCCTCCCTGGAGAGACAGAGGATCTCTCCGGGGGTCCAGGAGGAGATGTCCTGACCTCAGCAGAGGTCAGGAGCTAAACCAGGAGCAGGAAGGAGAGACACACACTTGGATTCTCACAGTGTCAGCCCTTGTTCATTCATTCATCTGGGGCAGGAGGGCTGTTGCCACTTCCCTACCCCAAGACCACAAGACTAAGGTGAGAGAAGGGGGCCTTTGACAGTGGAGCTCATGGCCAGGAAGTCCACAGAGACTGTTCCTTCACACAGCGTATGTGCCTCCGCTGGCAACAAGGATCTCTTTGCAGCGGAAAGTTCTGATTGATGGTGACACAGCGGTCCAGCTGGAGACGGGACCCCTGGGGGAGCATCACTCCCTCTGCTCCTGAATTCAGAGCCCACGCCCCGCCCCCCCTCCTGGAGGGGCCAGAGAGACATCAGCCCTCCCCCAGCTCCCATCTTACTCAGAGGAAAAGCCAAAGTCCTCATTGCTGCCCACAAGGACCTGTACATTCTGCCCGCATCTGCTCCCTGCCCTTCTCTCCTTCCTTTCTCCCCGCTACTCACTCCTCTCTGGTCCCACACTCCTCCTGAGGCACACGCCTGCCTCAGGGCCCTTGCACAGGCTGTTCCCTCTGCCTGGAATGCTCTTGCCCCAGATACCCACATGGTGGCTCCTTCTCAAACATCATCTCCTCAGAGGAATCTCCTGTGACTACCTTACGTTCTATTTAAAATGACACCCTTCACCAGGCTGTATTTCCTCCTTGTATTTTACTTATGCCTGCTCACATACTGAATATTTATTGGACTGCTTGTTTATCTTTTGTCTCTGCCAGGAATATTAGCTGCAGGAGGGCAGGGACATTGTCTGTTTCACTCGCTGCGGTGCCTGGCACAACGTTGGTGCTCACAAATGTTTGTGGCCGAGACGGGAGGGTGCAGTCTAGTGTGGTGGTTCACAGCCTGGTCTTTGGAGGCCACTGGAATCCCAGCTTGGCCACCTGCTTACTATGTGACTTAAGCAAGTCCCTTTGCCACTTGTGCCTCAGTTTCCCTATATGCAAAATGAGGAGAATTCCTGTACCCATCTCACAGGGTGGCTGTGAGGATTAAGAAAGGAAGGATGAGGGAGTCCTGGCGACTTATCAGCCTGGCTTTTCCTATGCAGAGTTCCAGGAGAGGGAACAGCACATGCAAAGGCTCAGCAGTGTGGAAATGGAGCTACTGGCAGGGTGGCCCGTGGGAAGGCCTTACCTGGGAAGGAAACATGTATGGACTCGCTGAAGTCCGATGGCTGGGGCTGGCTGTGCTCCCCTATCACACTGTACTGGCAGTAGAATGCTCCCCCTGGAGCCTCACTGCTGTTGCCGCTCAAGTTGAAGGTGACCCCAAGCTGGCCTGCAGGGGCCTGCAGGAGCTGGACCACCTGCCCACCGCGGTACAGTGTAAAATTCGCCCCCAGGAAGTCCTTGGGGGCCATGCACACGATGTGGATGGGATCCTTCTGGCTGCTGGGGTGCGGGGGCACCAGCAGGATGGACGGCGCTGGGATGGCCAAGGAGCCTGTGAAGCAGAATAAGGGAAGGCCATGTGGGTGGGTGGTTACAGTGGAGGCTCCAGAACCCAGGCTCCCCAACCTGGCTGTGTGGCCTTGGGCAGGTAGCTCCACCTCTCTGGGCTATGGTTTTTATGTGTATCAGGAGGATGGTGATCCCTACCCTGCTGCTAAGTTGAGGGGATGGAGTGCCCGGCATAGAGCGTTTGAGTCATTTTATAATAATAGCGATGGTTACTATAAAATCGAAAAACCAAACCCATTACCATCAAGTCAATTTCTACTCATAGCAACCCTATAAAACAGAGGAGAACTGCCCCCATAGGGTTTCTAAGGCTCTAATCTGTACAGAAGCATACTGCCACATCTTTCTCCTGCAGAGCAGCTGGTAGGTTCGAACCACCAAGCTTTTGGTTAGCAGCCGAGTGCTTAACCACTGCGCCACCAGGGCTCCTTAGTAATCATTATAGAGTAATATAATTATAGTGTACTTTTTTGCAAATAATGCACCACGTAAATAATGTAAGGCATAGCACATTTACGGAAATGGGGGGCAAGTTGCGCGGTTGGCAAAAAAGTATAACGGGCAGGTTATTTTTGTAAAAACACGGTACTCTTATTACTCCCATCAGCAAATACATACTTAGCACTGACTATGTGCCAGGCCCTGCTCTGGGTGGTGGGAGCAGAGCAGTGAACAGGACAGACAGATAGACATGCATGCCTCTTAGAGCTGACGTTCTTGTCCAGGAGACAAAGTGCACTATGCAGCCAAGCAGACAGGATACTGGGAAGGCTGTGGAGGGGCAGAGGGACCTTCAGGGCAAAGGCCCTGAGCATGGAAAGGAAGCAGTGAGGAGGCTGGGGTGACTGGAGGAGTGTGGCCAAAGGGGAGAGCAGGAGGAACGGAGGCAGAGGGTCCAGAACCCAGGCTGTGATGAGGAACACGGGTGTCAGAGTATGGCCTAATGCAGCGGGATGTTTCCGCAGAGACCAATCTTTGCCCCAGGTGCCCACAGGCTGCTGAGCAGGGCGTCTGGCTCAGGTAAAACCTACACGAGCCTCCCTTTGTTCAGCCTCCACACGTTGGCCCAGCCTCTGCCCTCCATCCCCAGCAGATCCTCCTGCTACACAGACCAACTGGGCTGAGTCATGGGGCGTGGGCATGCCCTCTCCAGGGGGCTGATATTTCTGATATTCTTGACTTAGGGGTGATAAGAAGCCTGGCAAGAGAAAGCACCTCCTGGGGAATTTCCAAGGCTCTTAGCCAAACCTATCAGAGCTCAGCTTCCTCCCTCACCTGGGAAGGGCAGCCTGGACTGATTTCTGGCCCCAGAGCAGTAAGATGGGGGTGGGCAGTGGTGGGGGAGTTGGTGGAGAGGGTGTTAGACTCACCAGCTGCGAAAAGCAGGACAGTCCAGGGCATCTCTCCTCCCGCGTGTGGCTAAAGCCAGAGTGGCCCACAGCTGCTGGCCAACTCCTCCTGTGAGGCCAGACCAGGGAAAGAAGAACCAGGGCTTACTGGAGTCAGAGTGTTTCCTCACTGGCAGGAAGTTGCACACCCTCGGGGGCTGAAAGGGACTCTCACCTCTCCCCACCCCTTTCGCTAACTCACATCAGATTCTGGCATCTCTCTGCATGTTGGTGGCTGTGGTTCTGCAGATTGGAGGGAAAAACGGACACAACAGTTGGGTGTTGGTTTATTTTTTTCTCCCCCTAAAAGAACTCCTGGGCACAAGGAAGGGTGACGGCACTGGGCTCTTTGGGGAACCCACAGCCAAGGCACAAACCGCAGCCCAAACAGTGCCACAATTGAGACAAATACTCGGTGAGGGTGGCTAGGGCTTGGCCTCAGTGACCTCAGGCAAGGCATGGGGTCCTTCTTTGAAGCCTCAGCTTGCTGCTCGGTAGAATGGGGCTAAGAGTAGTGGACATTAGATCCAAAGAACTTATGGTATGAAATGCAAAGCTTAGTAGGTTGTGAGTGCTTCTGATGTGAAGACACAGGGAAGAAAAGCTTTACCACCCAGGTGAAAGGGACCACTAGCTCCAGAACAGAGGACGTTAAAAAGATAGTTTGCATGACAAGTTGCCTCCTATTTACAGCCCAAAACTTCCAAGGACCTGTCCTAGCAGTGGGCTTCTTTGGTCACTCTAAATGATCCTGTTCAAATCAAGCAGGTCTACCTGGAAGTTCTCTCCTCGGAATAATGTAGGTATGTGGTCACTGAACACCAGAAAAGGCCATTGGAGTGAATGTTTTTCCTTGGACACACAAAGCTCTTTCTGACCTCAGGGCTTTTGCACATACTGTTTGACCTGCCAGGGACACAATTCTATCAGCCTGGTCAAATCCCACTCATCCTTCAAGTCTCAGCTTAAATATCACTCTAGGAGATCTCTCCAGAACCCTCTGGATTTGGGAGAAAAAAAAAAAACCCTTGCTACTCTAGACATGGTGCCTTGTGATTTTCCTTTATTATAATTAGCATGCTTGTATTTTCAAGGAATTTGTCCATTTCATCTAAGTTGCCAAATTTACTGGTATAAAGTTGTTCATATTCTCTTATCTTTTTAATGTCTACAGGCTCTGTAGTGATGTTCCCTCTCTCATTCTTGATAATAGTAATTTGTGTTTTCTCTCTTTTTTTCTTGATTAGTCTTGCTAGAGGTGAGTCAGTTTTATTAATATTTTCCAAGTACCAACTTATGGAACTCCGGTGGCACAGTGGCTAAGAGCTTGGCTGCTAACCAAAAGGTCAGCAGTTCAAATCCACCAGCCGCTCCTTGGAAACCATATGGGGCAGTTCTACTCTGTCCTATAGGGTCACTATGAGTTGGAATCGACTTGAAGGCCATGAGTACAGGTAGTACAGTATCCTCTATTTCCTATTTCATTGATTTCTGCTCTTTAATCTCTCTCCTACTTATTTTGTGTTTAATTTGCTCTTCTTTCTATAACTTCTTAAAGTGGAAGCTTAGATCATTGATTTCAAACTTTTTTACTTTTTAATATAAGCATTTAAAGCTACACATTTCTGTATGATAAAACATTTAACTTTACCTAATCTGGCCATTGTCTTTGGCTCCTGAGAAATACCCTTAGAACCTTGGAATTTAAGTGTCTTCCATAAGGGCTCCAGGTTAGGTGAAGTGATGAGGTGAGTCTGGGATGGGGGCTGGCAAGGCCGGAAAGACTAACCACATAATACCTCATGATCACCTTGTAATCATGGGAAGAGGGGCTGGTCAGGCCAGAAAGACCACCTTGTGATATCAGCCAACCTCAGGGGAGAAGGCCTGCAGTTTGCATGACATAATGAGACCCCCAATGAAAGCTCTGGACACTGAAGCTCTATGGGCTTCCTGGTTGGTAAAAGACATCCATGAACATGAGAAGGTAGTGTGTTGCTTTTCAGGCCATAGAGCTCCACATCAAGAACCCTGACAGACTTCTCCTTATGTGTCTCTTTGTATCCTTTTTTCCTACAATAAAACTGTTGTATAAGTACAGCACTTGCCATTAATTCTGAGTCATTCAGTGAATTACAGAACCCAAAGGAGTAGTGGGAGCCAGCAGGTCAGAAGTGAGGGAGCCCACAGGGGACTACCAAGCTTGAGCCTGGTATCTTGAAGGGGTAGAGGAAAATCCTTGAATTTGTAGCCAACAGGTCAAAAGTTTGGGAGCCCAGGGGGGACTCCCAAACTTGTGGCTGACATCTGCCTAGCTGGCAGTCTGAAGGACACTGTCCTCTTAACTTGTAAGCTCTGACCTAGCTCTATGTGGCCAGGGTCAAAGAAAGAAGTGCCGCATGTTGCCGTTGGTGTCAGAGAAGTGGAAAAGTGAGTATTTTTATTTGATGATGATTATTATCCTTCATAATAGCCCTCTAAGCACTACTTTAACTGCATCACACACGTTTTGATATATTGTGTTTCATAATCATTAAGTAGAAATATTTTATTTCCTTGGTAATTTTTTCTATAAACTATAGGTTATTTAGAAGTATGTTGCTTAATTTCCAAATACTCGGACTTTATCGATAGCTTATTGTTGTTGTCAGCTGCTGTCGAGTCGGTCCCAGACTCACGGCGACCCCATGCATAATGGCATTGGACCGTTGCGATTCACAGAGTTTTCACTGGCTGAGTTTCAGAAGTAGATAGCCAGGTCTTTCTTTCTAGTCTGTCTTAGTCTGAAAGCTCTGCTGAAACCTGGTCAGCGTCATAGCAGCATGCACACCTCCACTGACAGACGGGTGGTGGCTGAGCATGAGGTGCATAGGCTGGAAATTGAACCTGGGTCTCCAGAATGGAAGGCAAGAATTCTACTACTGAACCACAACTGCCATAGTGGTGCAGCGAATTACTTAATATGGCCCTTCTAGCCATAATCTTGTAACTCCCACCAAATGACAGGGTGAGATTATGTAAATGAGGTGCTTGTGGCCCACTGAGGCTATTGGATAGCTTGCTGATAATGTAAATAAGGTGCATGGCACCCTTGTGGGGGGCGGAGCCATGCAAATAAGGTATATGGAACCCTAGAGAGGGGACTGGTCAGTTTTGTCATCCTGCTAGGCTTAAAAGAGCAGTTAATCCCAGAGCAGAAGGGAACCTACCACCACAAAAAAAGAAGAGCTAGGAATGGAGCACGTTCATTGGATCCAGGTTCACTGTGCTGAGACCTCCTAGACCCAGAAGACAGAGAGAGAGCTGTAACACTAGAGACAGTGAGAGACGGCGAGAAGCAGTGGCAGAGAAACAGCAGCAGCAGAGGCAGACAAACCAGGAGACTAGAAGGAGACAGCATGTTTGGCTTCCTGGCCCACGGAGCAAGGTGGTTTCAGTGGAGCAAGAGAGCTGAGGCTGAGGCTTATTGCTGGAGTGAGGTGCCTCTAGGCACTCATTAGCAGAGCTAAAACAGCTTTGTAACACTTGCCTGAGCAGGGCCAAGGCAGAGGAGCTGGAGAGAGGTCTGCCTGTGGGCATGGCTGGGAAGAGGCTGTCCTGACCAAAGAACTGTATCCTGAGCTTTTCTGAACCTGAATTATAACCTGTTACATCCCTAATAAACTCATATAGTCGTGAGTACTGTCTGTGAGTTGTGTGGCCATTGCAATGAATTATCTAATCCAGCAGAGAAGTACAGAGTGCCGTGGGAGGGATCGTTGGTGTCAGAATTGGTAAAAAGGTTGGAGGTTGAGGCATGTCTGACCTCCCCCTCGTAGGAATCAGCCTTGGGCTGTTGATCTGGATTCTCCTTCCCCCTTGTGAAGTTAGAGGAGGTCAGAAGCCCCCAGCCCCCAATGCCATTTTTACAGCCTTTAGAGCTTATTGTTAGTGATTTTAAAATTTAATTCCTTGCGGACAGAAAATATACTTCGTATGATTTCAATCTTTGGAAGTATATTGAGACCTTTTTTATGTCCCACCTGTCTTAAGCTGGGTTTTCTAGAGAAGCAAAACCAGTAAAGTGTATAAATATATATATAGAGAGAGAGATTTATATCAAGGAAACAGCTCATGCAATTGTAGAGGCTGCAACGTCCCAAGTCCGTGAATCAGGATAGAAGCTTCTCTCAATTCTCGTAGCTGCATGGGCTGGCGAACCCAAGATCAGAAGGTTGGAGAGCAGGGCTCCAGCTCACAGGCTGTGAAGGTCGACAAATCCCAAAATCAGCAGATAGGCTGATAGCTCGACTCCCAAGAACTGGAGGCCAAATGAACAGGAGGCAGCCGCAGGATCCAGAGTGAGCAAAAAGCCAGAATTTCTGCTTATATTTGGATGCAGGCCACACCCCCAAGGAAATTCCCTTTCAACTGATTGGCTACTCACAGCAGATTCCATCACCGGAGTGATCACATATAAACGCTAAGAATTATGGCCCAGCCAAGTTGACGCACAATCTTAACCATCACACCACCATATGTCGAAGAGCATTCTACGTGCACCAGAAAGTATACTCTGTAGTTGTTTGTATAATGTTCTGCAAATATCAGTTAGGTTAGGTCAAGGTAGTTCCCAATACATGCTTGAATTTACTGAATTCATCCTTCATGATTTCTTAAAAATATCTCTCTTCCTCTAGGAGTGTAGGGTTGGGGTCTGTATTATCTCCTGCCATATCCCCAGGGCCAACCACAGTGCTACGCATACCAAGCCAAACCCATTGCCATCGAATCGACTTCAACTCATAGCAACCCAACAGGACAGAGTAGAACTACCCCAAAGGGATTCCAAGGAGTGGCTGGTGGATTTGAACTGCCGATCTTTTGGCAAGCAGCCATAGCGCTTAACCACCAACGCTCTACTGGACACACAGTGAACCATAAATGCTTCTTTTTAAAAAAAAAAAAAATTTTTTTTGTTGAGAATATATGCAGCAAAACATACACCAATTCAACAGTTTCTACATATACAATTCAGTCACCCTGATTACATTCTTCGAGTTGTGCAACCATTCTCACCCTCCTTTTCTGAATTGTTCCTTCCCCATGAACATAAACTCACTGCCCCCTAAGGTTC